GCCCGATGACAACGCGCGGCTTCCCCTCCTCACACCCCCGGAAACGACTCCTCGCCGGCGATTTTCGGCGAACTCACGAATCGACGAAAACCACCACCGTCTTCTTTCCCGTCTAGCTTCGGCTGTATTCGTCGGCGCCAGTGACACACGCGCGCGCGCGCGCACACCGAGGCACACACGACGGGCCGAGCATACACCACGAGCCGTCCCGTTCTTACGTAAACGCGTGCACTTCGCCGCACCACTGATTTTCCCCCGATCGAAAGAAAACTGCCAGCACCCGGCACCCCGCGCGTGTGCGTCGACACGACAAGATACCACCGTTTTATAGCGGCCGACGCGCTCGCACCGTCAATGATCGCACAACCTCGCGCACTAGGACCCGCAACCCCGGTCGTCGCTCGTTTCTCACTGCTATTATCCGAGGCGTTGTCCGTGCCAGGGGTGATTCCCGTTCGGTTTCCCTTCGTTTTTCATGCGTTTCGCCCCCCGCCGAACGTAGAAAACACTCCGGTGCCGCGGACGCTCGTTGCGAAATGGTAGACCACGAAATGCCTGCCACTGAATCCGAGAGACACCCTCCGCCGCCTTCCCCGTCTTTCTTTTCGGTACGTCGTTGCAGACTGCCAGGAGGGAAAACGCCGACGCGAAGTAGGGCGCACCCTTCTTCCACTCCTGCCGGACTATATACAGTGTGTACACACCACCACCGTGATTCCGAGCACCCCTTACGGCGCCTTTCCTCTCCTCCAGCCTCATCCGCCAGCATCCTTCACCCCCTTCGCGAGCCTGCCGGTTCCCGGCAAATCCCCCCAAACTCCCACCACTCACCGCCAGACAGCTCGTGCGCTTTCCGCCGAGCGCCAGGAGGGTAGGGATCGTTTCCACTCCCCTACCCTCGCTCTAGAGCAACCCCACTGTTCGAGCCGGCGCTTTCCACCCTCCCACCATCACCCTAAACGGGCGCGCGCACGATAATACCGGTATATACTCCCTCTCTCTCTCTCTCTACGTTTACTCTATCTTTCTTCAACCTATTCCACGTTTTCCTACTGAAAGTCTCCTGACCTCGCTCCTCCGCCCGTTGCACCCCCTGTGTGTTCGTTCGCCTTCCCTCGCGCGTCCCACCACCTTCGACCCTCGAAACCACCCTCCCTTCGCCGACGTATCGAATGCTACGTCACAGTGGCGAGATATACGGCTATTTCACAAAGTGGTTAAATGCACTGCCAGATTACGAGCGAAGGGACAGTCGGCCGGCACACCGAGAAAGGGGTTGGGAAGAGACGGACAACGATGGCTAACGGTGCCGGTTACGATATCGTCCATCGGCCGCCGTCAACTGCCAGAAACCAGCCGGAGAGTTTCTGCCCACTACGATCGTGCCTGCAGAAGTCATTTCGCGCTTCCTTCTTTTTTTTCCCTCCCTTTCTCTCGTGTTTCGCTGTTTTCTTACCCCTTTCCGGCGCATGGTCTTCCCGTTCGCGTTCTCGAGAAGTCTACGCTTTCTTTGCTGCCCGCCGCCGCCGCCGCCCCCGCCGAGCTCTCGCCTACCGGGTGTCTAAGTACTTACGTGCTCCCTCCAGACGGAGGATCTCCGTTCCGTCTGTCATCTCTCGCGAAAATTATACGGGAAATGAGGGTATTCCTTCGCGGAGCGATGTTAGTCTCGCTTGCAAAGCTTGGGAGGCGGAATCGGAGCCGCCTTATCCATTAGGTACTTTGGGCACGGTGCCTAAGTCCTACAGGATTGAAAAAAACAGAGAAACCTGGGGGTGGCTTTACAGCGACTAGAAAGACAAATATCTCAGGATGAGAATGTTTTCTAGTTTCGAACACGGGAATCGTGGATTGAGAGTTTTCTGGGGAATGTAGGCTTCGACGAGTCGAGGAATGTGTCTCTGTATCGTTGATAATTGAGCAACAGTGATATATTATATATTATTAGAAACTGTTTGCAAACATGTGAACAGTACGAATAGTATTGTCTCGAGAATTTAAGGAAAGGAATAATGATATTTATTATACAAAAATTAACTTCGATTTGTAGATCAGATCTTACCCTGTATTCATCTTAATGAATCTAAAGTGTACTTAATCGATAACATATTTTGTTGTTTCTGCCATTTTCACGATTGAAATTGAAACTTCTGTGAAGGAAACGGATGAAATGAAACTGTTGATCTTGATTATGAGTTTCTAGTTTCATATTTCATATTTAGAATGTCGAGCAATTTGTAATAAACGTTCTGCAAATATAAATACCGAGTTTCAACTCTGCAGTCGACAATATTTTTCTTTGCATACATTCATTATTTCCTGGCGAAATATTAACAATATTACTTGCAACGTACATAAAGAAACGTCTTGCACAAACTATGGGGCAACATTATTTTGTTTCTGTTTCGTGTGTTCATATCTTATTCTACATTTTATATTGAATTCTTCATTTTATCATTTTCCTTGTTTTGATAATTATAATAGTATGACACTTTCTGGTCTAGATGGAAGAATTTAACGCATAACTGCTACAGTCTATCGGATTTCAAAAATGTTTATTTATCTGTATCCTTTTCCGCGTATGCCTCGCAATATTGAAACTCCATGTACTTTTCACTTATATTGTAACATGCGATTGTCAAGTCTGTGTTTCAGCATTGATCCTCAATTCGCCAGCGGTCTGAAAGATCGCATCTAACACTTAAAGGTTAACGATATTTCAGTGTAACCTTTGAACCATAAAATACCGCAGTGAAATTTACTCTGAAGAATATATTACTAAAGTATGTCGTTTCTAATGATCTATGCAGAAGCTAATATATTTTAAGCTCACTTAACGATAGAACTATCGAGCATTTAATATGATTAATAGGATATCCATATGAAACTTGTAACAATAGATTATTCTCAGTTTCTACAGACATTCATTATAGTATTCAACGGAACCTATTTGTTTTTAACACTAGAACTACTGTATCAGTCGAAACGACTGATTTCGAACTTTTTTGCAATTATTGATATCTTCAAGGCATTGAATATTCGAAGTCATCTTGAAAATAAATAGTTTCACTTGAATACTATAATGAATGTCTGAAGAAATTGATAATAATCTATTATTACAATTTTTATAGTGATTACATATTAGGACTAGAACTACTATAACAATCAAAATAACTGATTTCGATTTTTGTTGCACAATTATTGATATCTTCAAAGCATAGAATATTCGAAATGATTTTTAAAATAAATAGTTTCACTTGAATGCTTAATGAATGCCTGAAGAAATTGATAATAATCTATTATTACAATTTTTATAATGATTACATGTTAATCGTATTAAACACTCGGTAGTTCCAGTGTTCAAATCATTTCGAATATTCAATACTTTTAAGATATCAATAGTTGCGAAACAAAACAATCGAAACCAGTCGTTTTGACTGTAGTTCCAATGTTAAAAGTTTAGTTTCAAATTCTTTAACCTAATCGCTATATTACTAGACTTACACATACCCCTACACATTCACAGAAAATAGCGAAGAACCACACAGAACATACACGACACAAGGAAACATATAAAACGTCTAAAGCGAACTTTTCATAACGTTTTCCAGGCAACGCGATTTTCCACCATAATTCTATTTCCCTAATAATATTCTTAAAAATTCGAATTTGCATAAAGACCCGCAGCCCGGTTATCACCGACCCACTTTGTGCTTTCTACATGAATCTCACGCGAACGTATGGTAAAATAACGAGACTCCTTAATTGACAGCACGATTTTCTCGATTTGTTGCATCGCTGCATCGGCTGTGCCACGGGGGTCTCGTTACGACCTTAATCCTTTAAACTCCATAGACGTCTCTCAGCCGCTACTCGATTTAGTACAGCAAAATTATCAAGTATAATATTTAATGTTAAGTGTTTTTATAATGATTTTATAATCTTAATACATTGCGTACCGATTAATTCTTCGAAAATTGGCCAATTTTTCAATGAAATCAACTTGTAAGTTCACGATGTATCTCTTTCCAGCGCAAAAGATTAACACGTTAAGCGCCACGTCAGTCATTAATTACCGACGCTTCTGAATTACTTGAAAACAATCATAACATACGAGATAACCGATGTGGAATGGAAACGTTTAATAACGTAACTAAGTCGATAATAGTGTAATGCAAAGAATCTAACGCCAAATAATGAATAATTCTTCTTGCTTTTCTGTGCTACAAAAGAACAACTCCACGGAAGAATGGTCAAAATTTTCGTGGCGCTTAACGTATTAAGACCACGAGGTCCACTCGTGACAGTCATGTTTATCAGACTCGTGATACTTAAGTTTGACATGGTATTACTACAAGCCTAACTCGCAATGTCTACATTTAGTCCGAAATTCTCATTGCAAGTCAAACTCCCCAAACTACATTAAACGATTAACCCCGTGGTGTCTAATTTTTCTTTCGCCTCGTGACTTTTCAACTTCTAAAATCAACTCAGAACATAATAACACACCAATCACAGCAACTCTTATTTAACCCTCCCTCAAAATGGAAGAGTTCCATCGATGGAAGAAGAATGTTCAGTCAGCATTGTGTCGAAGAATCCTCTATAAGTCGCTGCTCGTGGGTTTGCATCCCTAACAAAGGGA